TAAAGTATCATTGTCAAACTTTAGGACAGGTAAAAAAAAACAAATCAACGATCATCAACAACCAATTTATTCAAATTTCGAAAGTTTAAATGTGATAAACGTCGATACCACAGCCATCTAATATCAGAGGAAGCTTTTGAAAGTAAGCACACTGAGGGTTTGCCGATGATTGGTTTTAAATCAAGAGTAAACATATCACCATAACGTTTTGACTTCAACAACACTTCGTTCGTTTCAACCTTTGAGATAATACTCTCTTCTTCGTTAAACACAACTTGATTGCCAGTGCCCAGAATAAGTTGTAAAACACTTTTCAAATTATGTTTCAGACCTTCAACATAAGCAACGCGATTTACAGTAAACTGTCCATTCGTTACTTTCCCATAGCCTTTCACTTGACATTTATGATTGTTTCCAAACTTCACAACACCTGCATTTTCCAAGCTTCGAAAATCTCTCAAATTTTCTTTTCGTCCAGTCATGTGACGTGAGCACCCACTATCTATATACCATTTCTCATCATATTGCTCGTCACATAGCACCTGCGATCAATGAAAGAATTTAGGTACCCAAGGCTGTTTGGGTCCTTGGAAATTAGTTTTGGAAACAGAATGAAAGGCAAAATTTTTAACCCAATCACAAACTTTAGTTTTGAGACTATCAATTCAGTCCACATCACTAGGTAAAGGAACAGAAACATAAGTCTTTGTTAGTTTAGGATTGTCACTGACACATTCCTTCGTGTTTTTAGATTGTGTATGAACATGCTTTTCTTGCGAAACCGGTTGCCAAGTTTTCACCGAAACATTCGAATCTTTTGAAGATGAGCTTTCAGTTGACGAAGTATTAACATACTTCTCATAAGCTTCTTGAATTTGTTGTTGAGAGTATTTCCTTGATTGATACATTCGTCCTTTTCCTTCAAGTCAATGATCGATGTTTTTGTCACGAGACAACCCTTTTGTGTACGAAACTTTTAAGGTTTGTTTCCCTGAAGGATTTGAAAATTTTGGTTTTTATGGGAAGAAATCAACATTTGATTTAGGTCAAAATGCCATTGCATATCGACTTCCATCATTGTTTCCAACGCGTGTATTTTGAGAAAAGCGATTTTGAAATTTTTGTTTTTGAGAAAACCTTGTTTGTGGATTAGAAGAAAATCGTTGTGTTGAGGGTTGATTTTGAACATTCTTTGAGGTATTTATGTTATCTTTGGAAAACGTTGTTTTTGGAACTTTCGAAGAATTTGTTTTGGGATAAAATTCAGATTTAGTTTTATTTATTTGAGCGGGATTTTTCTTGTGATCTGAATAAAGTGCTGAATTCGAAGACTTGTTCTCAACAGATTTAGTCTTTTTGTTTTCAGTCGTTTTCAATGTCAAACCATTTTGTTTCTTTCGAGACTCCACGGTTTGCCAAAAAATCTTCTTTCGAGCTTGTCTTTTTGAAATTTCATTTTCTTTTGAAAACTTGTCAATTTGTTCTTTAAATTCTTTTGAATTTAATTTGACAACAATTTCATTTTCCACAACAACCTCTTTTGTAAATTTTTTCATAACTTTCGATTTTTCAACCCATTTACGTTGTGGTTTTTGTCTTTGAAAAACATACGAATTATTTGTTAGATTATTTTCAATAGTGCTTTGATTTGAAAAGAATCCTTCGTCTGTTGTTTTCTTGTTGTCATCTTTGACCATTTTGTTGAATTCTGGTTTAATGTTATCAACATTTCCAGTAGTGACAAACACTTGATTTGGAAATACAACATCATCAGTACACTTGAAATTTGGATACACAACTTGATTTGTTTCCAAATAATGGGCTCCTTTTTCAGACAACACTTTGTCGAAATTTTCAGTGTCCCCAAACACTTGATCAACAACAACACGTGGAATTTCAGTTTCTTTCGAATCTTTGTTTGATGAGACCTTTTTGTGCGAATTGTCTTCATCATTTTCATCATCACTGCTATCCATTTGACTATCTCGGATATCCACAAAATCGGGATCACAAACTTTCAAAGTTGAAGGTTTGTCAGTGTCAATCTTAACCATCAAATCCTTAAGTTTTTCTTTTCCTTTAGATTTTGATGCAACATTAATGATATACAACTGAGAACAATCAACATCCTCAATATCACTAATTTCGCTAATATTGTCAGAGTTATCTTCAATATCGGCAAAATTAGATTGAGAATCAGATGTTGAACTCTCAGCCTTTTTCAAAATTTTGATTTGTTCTGATTTAGTCAAATTATCATTCACAATGTTAACCAATTCATCCGAATCCAGACATTCATCAATTTTGACAATTCCATAAGCATATCTATCATCAGGAATTTTGTCAAACTCAGCAATATTTTTCTCACAATCATACGAAATATTATCAACCTTCTCTCTTTCATATGCTGAAAAAGGTAATAATTTCCTATGTTGTTCCTTGCTAATTTCACACGAATGATGCAATGCAGTTAACTTGCCATATAGACGTTTACCAGAATTGCAGTATATATTTCGTTGAGCTAATAAAAGTTTTACATCACTAGAAAACAAATCTCTATCACACATAATATTTGTAATCTGCAATTCTAAACATTATATCTTGACAACTTTCAAATCTAAATTCTTCTGAGTCTCTAACAATTGATTGCTTAATTTCTTAGCTTCATTGCTAACAGAAACAACCAAATTATCAAAGTAAGCAACAGTATCATCAAAAGCAACAATTTCATAATCATATGCACTCAAAGGAATATTGAAAGATTGAAGAATAGTACGTACCTTAGTTGTCATTGGAGACTTATCAGCAGACTTTGACACAAAGCATCGGCCCGTTACCTCTTCGTCCGAATCTTCCTCCAGCCTCGCATACATGGCTCCATGCGTAGGATTACGCATTTCTTCATCGTCTGAGCCCGAAGACCAGATTTGATACGTGCCATCATTCTCCTGTTCACCTTGAGCCACCAAAGATAAATTTTTCGCCTTCGTACGCACCTCTTCCAATCTCTCTACATAATATGCTTCGTCTTTTCCTATTCTTTTTATCATCCTTTTTACGAAGCATGCAATCATTTGCTAGATGATTTGCTCCGTTGCAATAATGGCAATCCATACCCGAATCTCCTTTCAGTTTCTTCTCTTTCTTTTCCTCAGCAACCTTCCCATCATTCTTCTCATACTTCTTCTTATCCTCTCCTGCAGCCCTGTTCACAAATCTTCCTTTTCCTTCACTTTGCTTCACCTTTGGATTAAACGGTCTCTTGAAAAACTTTTTGACTCGGTTGTTTGAGTAAAAGCTATTGCCTCATCATCCGAATTAATGATAAACCCCTCTTCATCATCAAAATCACCTTTTTCGACTGTTTCCTTTTCAGACACTTTAGAGACAAGTGCTAATGGACCTCCCAGACTAAGCTTCGACTCTTCTGCCATTTCGTTTACTTCACTTTTGTGAGTTTTCAGTTGATTGTACAAATCATTTAAAGAAGATGTGTCGAAACTCTGTTGATTTTTCACCATCATGCTAACACTCCTCCATTCTTTACGGAGTCCCATGACGAAGGTGAGATTGAATTCCATAGCAGAACTCGTGATTCCATAACGATTGCATTTGTAAATCAACTCATTCAGCCTATCATAGTAACTTTCAATCGTTTCACCATCTTTTTGCTTGAAATCCTTCAATTCAATCAAACAGTGTTTAACTGAATTGATTTTCGTCTTCTCGCTACCTTGAAACTTTTCTTTGAGATTATTCCAGATTTCTTTTGCATTTGTACAACTTCTGACATAGTTATACACAACTGGAGGCAATGCACCGCGTAACTCCCTTATGCATCATTTTTCAAGTTTCTTCATTTGATCAGATTGAGCATCCACACTCGTAGTACCAGACGAAGATCCAATTGGTTGAAGATTCGTCGGAAGAGTAACATTCCCTGAGATGCAAGACCAAAGCTCTTCATCGAGTCCATTCAAGTAATCTTGCATACGATCAGACCACTGATCATAGTATTCCGGAATGAGCATAGGAATCTTAGTTGAAGATCCTAGCAGATGAGATTATGAAGTCATCGAGTTGAGATTGAAGTTCGCCATTGATGTACGGAAGAAATTTTTTGAGAAATCAAAGATAATTTGAAAGCAAATTGTTGAATTAATCAAAATATCAAGTAGAACACTCAATTCAACAAATCAGTTGTAGAATCAAATCACAACTGAAGATCTAGAACGCTTTTTCACGTCAAAAGGTGCGGAAACTTTTTGAACCAGAAATTTGATTCAAAAACCTTTTGAAACAGAGTGAAAATCAGATCGCAGATTATGATTCCTGCTCTGATACCAATTGATGAAGTGATGAATCGAGAATGTAACAAATCAGAGTAACAGAAATGTAATTTGAACACACGATGTAAATATGATCAGGTTTCAGCTCTATTATGCTTTCAAATGTTACAAAGAGAACATAGACAAGTACATTTAAGACTCTTATCTAACTCTAAGTAATGTCCCTATTTATAGAAAACATGAAAGCACACAAAAATTACAATGACTAAAACAGTACGCTTCGTTACAAAAATGTCTTGTAAAATAATCTTAAGTCTTCGACATATTACAACAGGTCTTCGACCCTTACAAGAATCGCCGAAAAATCATTTATCTTTTGGCCAAGGAAAACGGAATCGCCAGAAAATCATATATCGCCGATCATAGATCAGACATAGAAGATGACGGAGGTCGCCGGGATGCCAAAGTGGTCAGAAAATCAATCATTTTTAGTCGGAAACCTACAACATATAATACAGACAAACGAACTGATTTATTTTACAATTAATAACTAAATATGTGGAAATACATATTAAAGTCATTTATATAAAATGCACCATTATAGATGATGATGATCTGATGAATGAGCGGTGGTGAATAAATTAGGGAAATGATCAAACGGCTAAGATTTAGCAGCAAGTTAATATAATTAAATGATCTTTTTGAAGTGAAGGTTTTGTTGATGTTTTACTTTTGGCCGGTTTCTCTCCACGATTTGGGTCCTCATATAGAAGCAATCAATGCCCTCACAAAGCCAAAGCAAACCAAAAATCAGATGGCTAGCTTTCTTCTCAACACCTTGAGAAACCCCAGTGTTTTCGCTTCCTCTTCCTCCAATGGTTTGTGATATTTTCTGTTCAAAGTACATACACAAACACAACTTCCTCATATAATATATGGCTTACAACCTCATCCTGAAGTTGTGTTCTTTCTTTCAGGGTCTCTTCCAACTTCCAGTAATCAAGTATCTCAATCGGGGAAAGGAGGTCCAGTCATTATTGAGCTTCCCCTTAATCAAATTCGGAGACCTTTAATGCGTACAAGAGCTAATGATCCACAGAAGGTGCAAGAACTCATGGATAGTATTGCCCAAATTGGTCTTCAAGTACCCGTAAGCTCTCATTTCCATTCAATTTTCTTCATCTCCATCTAGGGTTTACAGTGAACTAGCTTTCTTCTCCTTTTTGTCGTTTAATTTTTTGCACTTAATCTGATTTTAATTAAACCAGATTCATGCTATGATGCTAACCTAGAAGTAAGTATCAGTACATCAAATCAAATCCACTATCCAGGTTTCTTTTTATGCATTTTTCTGATGACTTTTTGATGGATTCCGTGTAACTGCATATAGCCCTTTTGGGAATCGTGGATTCCGTGTAACTGCATATATCCAGGTTTATAGTTTTTTAGAACTTAATCGAGTATAATAGTTTTTTTTTTTTTTTTTTTTTTTTTTTTTTTTTTTTTTTTTTTGTATTTTACATTAGGGAGGACTTAAGCTGCTTCTTTTTTCCAGTGTGTTTTCTATACCGTAACTCCTTTTTACCTGCAAGCACTTGTGTGTTTTACATTTTTATAAATAAATTATGTTAGTAGGTCTTGCTAACATTTTCTAGTCTTCCTTTCTCTGTGTTCATATTTATTTATGTTTCTGTTATGAAGTTCTTTGAGCCTATTTATGTGATTGGGATTAGTAAACATTTCTTGTAATACATGCAGATTGATGTGCTTGAGGTTGATGGAGCTTATTATGGTATGGAACAATGTAGATTTATATTTGAAAAAGGGATTTAATACAAACTCTCCATTTGTCCTACAAGAATTGCAAAGTTTGATATGATACATGGTTTAAGGGAAATCTTTAGAGTAACCCTTCAAATCTAATAATGATAAAGTAACTAAAGAAGCTCTGAACAGGATTTTCTGGATGTCATCGCTATGAGGCTCATCAGCGCTTAGGGCTTCCAACTATCCGTTGCAAGATACGTCGAGGAACTAAAGAAACCTTAAGGTTATCTTCAATTTACATGCAAATTGCAGAAAATAGCAACATACTTTCTTCATGCTACAAATATATGTATATATATGCAATTTATTTTAATCTAATATCTATAATCTCAACCTACTTATATTCTTTTACCTATTAGAGCAACGTGCTTAAATTTCTTTACCCATAATAGCAATTTATAACAAGAAACGTGTAAAATGCCTACAAGTTTTATTTTACATATTGGTATTATCTGTAAATAATGTAAGCACGTTGCTATTATAGGTAGGTAATTGTAAGTACATTGCTATAGGTATACACATTGCCATAATTGGAAAAAAAATTGTAACTACCATGCTATAATGGGTAAAAACATGCAAGTACATTGCTATTATGGGTATTGTCTATATTGCTGAAGAGAGTAAAGTGCGTTGTTATTTCCTTGCAATTTGACCATGATTTATTTCCTCTCCTGGTTATTTTTAATTTTCTTTTTTTCTTAGTCGATTTTATTTTCAATAGGCATCACCTTCGATGAGTTGGTAATGGCTAGGCCAATTGTTATTTGAGATGTCGTGTTGATGGTTTATCTTAAAAGGTAACGCTTTCATGTTACATGCTTGTATAAATATATCAAGTGTATCGTAAATAAGACACATGTAGTTTGGTAGACATGTTATTACTATTGTGTTAATAATTAAATATTTGGTTTGTAATTATAGAATACAATGAATTGTGTTGTAAAGTACATACTTAGGCTATGTTTGGCATCTCATGGTGTAACATTCGAATGTTGGTAAGAAAAATATTACAACTCATGTGGTTAGTGGAATTGGCTTTTGCAAAATATATAAATCAAACAACAAATAAATAGATTACAATTTATTGATAAACAAGCGATTTATCATAATAGATCTCCTCCGAATCCATCTCATAAACGAGGGTGGGTACATAAAGTTGAATTTAAGAACACGTTATGTTCTCATTGAGAAAAAACCATAACCAAATCAAAACTAATATCAATCTCCTACTAACAATTTGTAGTTATAAGGGAGGGAGTCATTCCCTCCCAACCCACTGTAATATCAATTTTTGTCACTTTTTTTTTTTTTTTTCATATTTTCCAACCCACAACACATGAAAATCTTATCTTTCTCAACCCACTTAGTTAAAAAAAAATACAAAACAATTAAGGTATAAGTTTTAAAACACACGGTACAAAAGAAAATGAGAGAGAGAAAGTAGAAAGAGATAGAAGTGGGTTAGTAAAACCAATTAAACAATCCGCTGAAGCGGGAGTGGTACCGGCGGTAACTCTATTGCTAATTAAGATTTAATTTTGATTGTTTTGTATTTTTTTTAAATGAATGGGTGGAGTGGGTTAAAAAAAGATAAGGTTTCCGTGTGTTGTGGGTTGGGGAAAGATGAAGAAAAATAAAAGAGAAAAAGTGATGTGACAGTGTTGGTTGGGAGAGAATGACTCCCTCCTCCCTAACGGACAAACAATAAATCTAACAATAGGTTGAGATAATATACCTAATTCTGAAGTAATAGAAGGGTGTTCTTATATTCGACTTTATGTACTCACCCTTGTTTGTGAAATGGATTGGGAGTATATCTATTACGATAAATCGATGGTGTTTAAAGATCTATTGGGGCATGGTTGAAAGGAGAGAATGGTGAGCTTAGGGAATAATTGGACGATGGGATTTTTATTTATTTATTTATTTATTTATTATTATTATTATTATTATTATTATTATTTTTAATAAAATGAGTATTTGAGGGACTTCTAAAAAAAAAACTTAACAATTTTGTTGAAACGCTAGTTAGAGAAACTTAAAAAAAAACATATAAGCAATCTTTTGTTTTAGCCAAATATGACAACCTACAAACGTTCGGAAAACAATTAACGAACGTTTGTAGGTGTTTGTAGTAAATTTTTGTATATCCTAGAAAATCCTATATTTTCTACTAAACGTAGCCTTCTACCAAGGCATCAAATGTTCTGTATGTTTGTTTCTTGTAAGAGTGTGTATTTTCCCAAGTGTGACTATCATTAACCAAAAATATAGTTTCTAGATTACCGTTTATGTGAGAAGATCACAATGTGAATGCAATGGGGAAATAATATAGTACTGTAGTGTTGTATTATAATAACTACTGCTGTACTAACTACCTTAAACCAATTGTTATTTAAGGTATGATGTGATATGATTGCACCATACTATCGACTAATAACACGACAATGAAAGACGTCGGAAGAAATGACATTTGGCACCCGTAGACTTAGAAGTCCCACTGTAGCGAACAACAAGGTGTAGGATAGTCAATCCAGTATAGATCTATACACAAATTCACGCTCTCCATCTAGGAGATTCTGGATACAAAACGAGCCATGACAGGTGATGTCATGCCCCGAAACCGTGGCTCACATTTATGTTATAGTATTCTTGTATATGTATTATATGTACTAGTGTAATGTATGTTCTCTCTGTCTAGTATGTAGTATGTTCTCTTTGTTTCTCATCATAGTATGTTCTCTTAGTTTCTCATAATAATATGTTCTCTTAGTTTCTCATAATAGTATGTTCTCTTAGTTTCTCATAATAGTATGTATTGACTCATGTATGAACTGACTCTTTGTATGTTTCATTGTACTAGAAGTAATGAGTAGCATCTTCCTAAACTATACCTATTATAGTTTACTAGTAGAGTTGTTTGTATGACTGCGTGTATTGAACTGAGATAAAAGCTTTTATGTCTTATACATATATACATAATATATAACTAAGGATCAAACGACACTCGGACAAATGACAGGGTACTCTAAGTCCACAACCAAACGAGGAACAGGAAATAAAGTAAGTTATCAGTCCTAAGTCCTTCCAACCTTACTTATATAACTATATATGCATTAGACATGGTTTTGACAATATATAAGTTTAAAAGAGTTAAACGAAAAGGTTTGGCATGTAATAACAAGTTTGATAAAGAGTTTAACATGTAAAAAAAAAGTTTGATAAACATTTTGAAGTAGTTTGTTTGATAAAACAGCTAAAAGTATAACAAATCCATTGTTTGATAGTTATTAATCACATGTGATTGATATAATAACTATAATGTTTCAACTTGTATTCCCCCCGTAAAAGCATTTAAAATCATTTAAAAGGGATAAATTAAGGGATATGAACTCACATGTAGTGAGTGATACGGAAGTATGTTTGGAAATAGGATGTAGAGTGTCAGGTGAAACCTTGAGCACACACAAAGATCCTAATAAACATATAATGACATGTATGTGAATTTGATTAGTGTAAAACAACTAATTATAAGGGATAACACCCTAATAGACTAGGAAACTCCTAGTTTGAAGGGATACAATCACATATGATTGCATAACTAGGGTATATGGCCACCCTATAGAGTTTACGGTCCAAATGGCATGACCTAGGGTGTTTACGGTCCAAGTGGTTTACGGTCCAAATGGTTCACGGTTCAAGTGGTTTACGGTCCAAATGGTTCACGGTTCAAGTGGTTTACGGTCTTATGACCTTACGGTCTAATGACCTTAAGGTCATGGAGTTTACGGTCTAAGGAGATCCAACCGTAAACTCACATCCTTTTGTGCATAGGATGATTTCCAAGCATTTCGAAGGTTTCTAAGTTCCATTCTAGGCTTTAGAAGTGTTTAATGGTCACAATGCATCATTTATAAGAGTTTACGGTCTAAGGAGATGCATAGACCGTAAACACCTTTTGTTCTTTGATGAATGATGATTTCAAGGTGATTTAAGTAGTGATTCTAGTATATAACAAGTTAAGGGTAGTGTACTTACTTATTAGAAGCTTGTAAGGGAGATTAGAATCCAAGAACACTAGTGTGTGTTCTTGGTGGAACGAAGAACACTTGAAAATCTATCAAAATGAAGAGATTTCATGGATGAAATCATGCATAACCACTAGATAAAGAGTTGTAACAACAAATCAAAGGAAAGAATTCTTACAATTTTGGAAGATCGAGATGAAGATCTTATGATACTTGAGAGAGTTTTTGAGATTTTTGGCTTGGAATTGTAAAAGTGATTGAAAAATGACTAAGTGTCATATATATATATATATATATGAGTTTACGGTCACCATGACCGTAAGCTCTAAGCTTCTGACCGTAAACTCCTTTTGAGGAGTTTTACAGTTTGCTAGTTGGGTTGGAACATTAACTGATACATCCAAACACTGATTCCTTTGATGCACTAGGCTCAGAATGCTCAAACAGACTCTAAACAGTGCTGAAAGTTAGCAGAAACGAGTCTCACTTAGATTGAAGTGAATGGTTTGTACAACATAGAAATTTCGGGTTGTCACATCATCCCCCCGTTAGAGAGAATTTCGTCCCAAAATTAGAGTTTAAGCAATTAAGTTACAGGTAACTAAGCGAAAAGGTGAGGATATTTCAGTTTCATTTGATCCTCGCGCTCCCAAGTGAATTCAGGTCCTCGCTTGGCGTTCCAGCGAAACTTCACTATCGGGATACGACTTTGCTTCGTTTGCTTGACCTCTCGGTCCATGATCTCTGCAGGTTCTTCCACGAAGTTGAGGCTCTCGTTGATCTCGATCTCGTCGAGTGGGATAACAAGAGTATCTTCGGACAGACACTTTTTCAAGTTCGAGACGTGGAAAGTAGAATGTACGTTACTAAGTTCGCGAGGTAGGTTGAGTTTGTAAGCTACAGGGCCGATTCTAGCGAGAATCTCGAAAGGCCCTACGTATCTTGGATTTAGCTTTCCACGCTTTCCGAAGCGTATCAAACCCTTCCAGGGTGAGACTTTCAAAAGAACGCGGTCTCCCACCTGGAATTCCAAAGGTTTCCTTCGTTTATCTGCGTAGCTTTTCTGTCGGTCTCTAGAGGCTTTCAATCGTTCACGAATCTGAACGATCTTCTCTGTCGTTTCCCGAATGATCTCCGGACCGGTGAGAGTGCTGTCAGGAACTCGTCCTTTAGCTAACTGGGTGTCACCCACCTCAGCCCAGTACAGAGGGGATCTGCACTTTCGGCCATAGAGGGCTTCAAATGGGGCAGCCTTTATGCTCGTGTGATAACTGTTGTTGTAGGAAAACTCGACAAGGGGCAAATGAGTATCCCATGCCCTCCCAAAGTCGATCACACAGGCTCGCAACATATCCTCGAAGGTTTGGATAGTCCTCTCACTTTGTCCGTCGGTCTGTGGATGGTAGGCTGTACTCATGTCTAGCCTAGTTCCTAGGGAACTTTGTAGCGACTGCCAGAACCTCGAAGTGAATCTACTATCTCTATCAAAGATAATGGATATGGGAACACCGTGCAGTCGTACAATCTCCCGTATGTATGTTCTTGTGAGCTTCTCCATCTTGTCAGTTTCTCTGATAGGTAGGAAGTGTGCGGACTTGGTTAACCTGTCAACGATAACCCATATGGTATCGAGACCACCCGTTGTCTTGGGTAACTTGGTTATGAAGTCCATTGCGATTCGCTCCCACTTGTTGGGTATTTTGTGGTGTGTCATGGGCTTTATTTTTGTATATCCGGATTGGGCCTGTCCATCCGTGATTATTGATTAGGGTTAAGCTATTTATAGTGCATGCATGTATGCCTTAGATACGGAGGTGATTATCATTATTATTTCTGTGTAACCCTAAACACCTCTACAGTCGAAGTTCTTAATCGAGCTCTTCTGAGGTGTTAAAGCTTAATCATTCAACATCAGTTAAACCATTCCTGTGTTCTTT